TTTTTTCTGCTTCCAGGTAGATATGCCCCCCCCCCCCCCCCCCCCCCCCAACACACACACCTTTACACGGCTCAGACAGTTATATTGTTTGCGGGCGTTTGCGTGCGCGTATGTGAGAGATAAATGATTATGAACAAAATACAGTAGAAGACGATGTAAATTTTCAGCTTTCTGCATCTTATTATCGCCAGTGGAATGTATCACACGATAGTCTTAGATAAACCAGTAATTTTGGCACTTGAATCACATTGATAAGAGTTGTAAGAAGAAGTTTTCCTTACTATATAACTATGATGCATGTACTTAATCTGTAATCTGCGCTTTTTACTGTAAAGTAAACATCAGCCAAATGTTGTACTAATAGATAAAAACCGATGATTACACCCAACCTTTATATCAAGCTACATTCTTGTGTATACAATAACATGTGCATGCATTATATACACAAACAACAGGCACGTACCCTGTACCCAGTCATTTCAGATCTGTAAAACTGCCCCCGTTAGATCAAATTTTGATGTAGAGCTCGGACATACGAAACTCTTACGTATCTCCTAGTTTAGAGTGAAGTTTTCAGGCCAAAAGGGCACCCCACCCCACCCCTTCGTCACCTGGCTGGAAGCCTGTTGTAACACAGTCTATGAGGGTCAAGTAGCATCATACGTAGGCCTACGCGATGTCAAGATAAAGTCTATACTGATATGACAACGACAATAGATGTGCGCTTGAACTCCGTCAACACACGCTTATCTCTGTCAACACCTATTTACGCAGTACTTCTGTTTCAAGAGTGGAGTCCTGTGACGACATTAATGTACACAGCATACGCATGTGTGTCATCCTCATGTGATGGACAGTTCATATCCTGAAGGGGCAATGTGTATATTAAGTTCTTACCATATTACCTGCCTTGTGACAACCACCTGAAAGCAATAACAACGACGCTCGCTGACTTCTTCTAGTTCTCTTAGCGGACTTTTGCGTATTTGGCTGGTTGGGGTGGATCTCGGAGATATTTCTTCAAGTGATTAGACAACATTTTTCACGAATCCGGAGACGAGAATCAAAAAGACGACGCAAGATAAGAGGCGAAGCATTGCACGGTCACGGCCTGTATTGTATAATGTGCTTTTCACTAGAGTGAGCAGCAGTAGGCCTAATTCATTAAAAAGAGACGGACTAATTTAAAAATTTTTCAGAAATATTTCCCGATATTAAAGGAAAACGAAGTGGAGTAGAGCAGAGGGCATCGATCGGGTTTAATACAGACATTAAACAATAAAAAGATGGCAATCTGCCATGATGAACAAGTAAGGACGTCTTTGGCGTTAGAGAACGTTTCCTTACGGGGATCGACAAAACCCATGATGGCAATATTACAGTGCCCCATCTGTCTGATGCAGTACGACTTTGAGGAACATCACCCCCGACTTCTCTCTGGATGTGGACATACTGTGTGTAACGCGTGTGTAAAATTGCTACTGGCTCGAGAAGACCCTCACACGGCATCCACGACGTGCGTATGTCTTTTTTGTAAAGTTCAAAGCACTCCCGTCAGCAACGATACGATATTGAATCTCTTAAGGCAATGTATGCGAGTTAACGGAATGGGTCTCAATGTCAAAGAGTTGAGCTGTGAAGAGTGCGGGACTAAAGGTGAGGTGCGAATATATTGCCGTACCTGCACCAGTTTCTTGTGTTGGAACTGTGAAGAGAGTCACATCCGGGTACAGTTACTGAATGACGATCTGCATGACGTCACTCTGTTTTCCCTGGAAAACAAAGATTGCAGTCACAAAGGTAAATTTTATTATATATTTATTTTTCATATTCTCATTATCTGATAGCTCTGTTTTGGGCCTGTCATTGTCACAGTTGCATTTAAAAGCACGATAATGTGTACAAGCTAGAGTAGAAGAAAAGAAATTCTATTTGATTTATCTTACAAAAAAAGCGTCTCAACCAATTTGAATTTCGATAAAAGTTGAAAAATATGAATATTGTGTGAAAAAAATATTTTTTTTATTTCAAAATTAAGATGCATTAGACGGGCAAATGTATATCTACGTACGTTTGTTTTTGCATTTACTTTTCAAACAGTTCTCTCCCAATGTGAAAAAATACGTTATGTTTTTCCTCTGCTCTCTCGGAAAAAAAAAAAAAAAAAAAAAAAAATGGTGAAAGTCGCTTCGTTTCACATATTTTAGTATTGTCCTGTCGAAAGACTTTTCCTCCTCTCAGTCCTCTGCCGTATCTACATGTACATGTGTCTCAGTTGTCACGTCTGTTTTCACGTCTGTTTTCAAGCTTTGTGTCTTCAAAGTTCAAATTGATACTGCAGAAAAAAAGAAAAAAGACATAAACATACGAAAAAGAAAACTTACGGAAAACTTAACATACATGTACCAAAGAAGCATTCAGCTGAAATGGTTTACCTGTACCTTAAAAAATTGCCGAAATTACGTTCAGTCGATAACGATAATTTTTTTTCTAGAACACTGATTCACATTAGCAAAGACCAAACCAGCCACATTTTTCTAGATTCCGATCACTAATTTTAACACTGAGTTAATGAGATAGAATCATATGACCATTATATATTGTGTTTGCTCATATTTCAGGAATTTTCGGCAACGGTCGCGAGGTGCTGCCTCAGTTTCAACCTCCAATCTGTGCGGAGACGATCGATTTTTCACTCTAATGGTGTACAGTATCCATGCTCTTGCAACCCTTATGATAGGGTCCTATTGCCTATACCTTGAAGTTCTCACAAAATCACCGCAATATGGATCCCCATGTAAAAACTTTCATTAATTTTCACGTGCCTATTGCAAACAATGATTTACAATGTCAGCATGGACGGCTATTTATAATCAGCATTCTTTAAGCACGGCTTCTTTGAAACATTGAAGCTCCATCTAGCTTTTTAGAAATCACTTTATAGAATTAATACAAGTAGCGCAACTCGCTTCACGATCAGCGTATGGCGTCACGTATTAAATCAACGTTACGTCACATTTCATAACATAACGTCATGTAACAAAGCAGCGTAGTCTTGAATTGTGCATTGATTGAGAGACATTCTCCTAACACTATCGATTGTAGACCATGGGTCAGTTTGACCTGGTCCTAAGAGAATTATGGATGCTGTAACAATGAGGTCCTTAATTTACTCAAACTTTACCGGACTGTATCACAAATAAAGCAATATATGTTTCATAGCTAGTTCTTTCTCACTTTTATTATTTTGGACAATTTCTTTCTGGAATATTTCTGACTGCTTTTATAACAAATGGGAAAGTTACAAGGAAAGCGGAAATGTTTAAATAAAGAACATGTATTTTGATCATATAATTCGCGTACGCAGTATAGCAGTACTATACATGTTCGGAAGTGGGCACGATATAATTGTTCACATTTATTTCTTATATAACAATTAAGTAGACCGTGCTGTTTATTCTCTCTAAAAATAGTGAATCCTCTCAGACAAAATACACCATTGACATAAATTCTGACAATAGATTTGCGTCGAAAATCCGGATACACCTTTATGTCAACAGAGCCAAAAATCCGATATTTGTTTCCTGAATATTCAGACAAAACAAATACTGAAATTATTCTTTGTTGAATATTCTTCTCCCGACGGGTCCAGTTAACGAGAACACGCACTTGTTATTGAGAAATCAAGCTCACCGTAGTGTGTCTCAAGGTGGTAAAGGAAAACAGTGTTGTTTCTTCATCTCTTGCGTCTAATACATTGACTTATAGACAAAAGTGGCCAGTCATTCGGAGAAATTAAAAGTTTCCGGAGAATTTTCTGCCTATAAAACAGTATTTGTGTCTTTTTGAAAATGGACAAGCTCCCACTGGTCCCAGACAATAACAATACCCGTACCCACATAATATCTTGATAACGAACCCAAGATCGTCATTGTGGAGCGAAGTTTCAGAGGAAAGCAAAGTTGTTCATGTCGAATCCCAACCTCTGTGTATAGTATTTTTCCGAGCAAAGGGAATTGGAATTTACTCTGTAAGACACGATGGCCTTCACAAAGTGTCTTATCATGATGATGGGGATGGTGTTTTACCTGGAAATGGCTGAAGGTAAGCTTTGTACAGTAGTATATTTTAACGGATGTTATTTATGGGGTATGAAGTACCGTTAGTAATACTAGCGTTACTGTTGAAATATAACGTTCAGTCTCGTGTAGGTTATTTGAATAACTTACATCATGCCTTGACTTGCATTCATAAACGCTTTTATATAACATAAAAGTTGCGAAATCTGGCAAGAAACATAAGGAAGACATATCGTGGTATTTGACCGCCTGCTTTCAATATATGGGAGTTTGTAGCATTTTCGGATAACTTCTGCCATAAGCCATTGTCTGTAGGTACAAAGCTTAATATCCACGAAATTTCTCTCTGATGTTTTGGTACGTAGCCTCACATTAGTTATTTCAAAGGTTTGTGAGAGATAACGAATTTCTCTCGACGCAATACAGGTTAAAAATTGTATGTACTCCTTTATATGGTGTCAAACTTTTTTTATCCTTTTGGTTCCATGCATGTTGTCATAAATGATAAAAACTACAATTTTCTTCAGTTTCGTCTCCACATTAAAAATGAGATAACAAATATATTTTTTAAACTTTAAATTATAAAACTGAATATTTATTACAATTTTAAACCTTTGGTGTCGGTGTGGTTATATTGAACTATCTATTGGTGCCACAGTATCATTAAAGTTTTTTTCGCTCTTGCAGGCCACGAGCTGTCTTTGCACAGAAACAGCGGTTGTTCTGAAGGCAAATTCTGCAAGACAACAGGGGTGGTGGTACAGGAGACTCCTATAAAGAATGCAACCGCCGCCAGCGCCATCCACTGTGTCTCTATGTGTGTGAGACACCAGGATTGTGTCTCCGTCAACTACAACTCCACTGATAAAACATGTTCTCTGATAAACGTCCTGCACACAGCTTCTAGAAATCTAGCCCAGACTAATGCGACAACCGATCTTCATTTAAGCCCAGCCGTGTGCAGCGAGCAGGTAGTAATGAGATAATAGCTTAGTTAATTTTCAAACTGGACATTTCCTGCGTCTTTTAATGTTTACTGGCGCTCTCTGAATAGTGACGGCCCCTTGACCAACCCTAGGAACGCGTGTATTAATTGACGAACTTGATTGTGTAATGTTTGCACATTTTGATGCGGATGCGGATTCATCCGCATGTCTGAATAATACTTGGAATCAATAGCTTAGACGGAAGATTTTTAATGATTAAGAGGACCACCAGTTGTGTGTGTGTGTGTGTGTGTGGGGGGGGGGGGGGGCTGATTGCTAAATCGTCCCTATCTCTTTAGTACGCGTGCAGCTTGTATTTGTTCGGGGTCNCCAGTTGTGTGTGTGTGTGTGTGTGTGTGGGGGGGGGGGGGGGGGCTGATTGCTAAATCGTCCCTATCTCTTTAGTACGCGTACAGCTTGTATTTGTTCGGGGTCGATTATCGCTAGAATGATGATACATAAATGACAAAGTCAACTGACAAGAACGTAAACTTTACCGGCTATTTGAATTAAAAATGTTCTGTGAAGCGGTTTGCTTAGAAACGCTGTAAAAGAAATAGAATTGCAGACCCCAACGACCTTGCCGATTAAAATAATGATAACCTCTACCCCTGACTTCAGAATTTTGTCTTTTCTATTTTTTTAAAGTCATATTGTACATATCTTCATATCCTCAAACCTTCTAATTATTCCCAATCCCCACCTTCATTACGATAAAACCCCTCAAATAAAAGTATCTGATGTCGATATTTTCTTCTGAAATACATGACGGTGTAAGTAACTGGGCAGCTATTTAGTACTAAATGATGTGTTTAGAAATGGTGTAATACTTGAAACCCAATGTGCAGGGATGGGTCGAACAATGATTCGGGTGTACAAGAAAATTGGTAGTGTTTTAAAAGGGAAATTCGACCTAGAAGTAAAAAAGATATCGACGGATTTTATAAAAGTTTAAGAAAAGGCCAGAAATAGGCTAGGGGAAAGGGGTTAGATTTTAGTTGGTTATCTATAAATTAATATTGAGAATTAAGCTTCCTTGACGGGGGTCTGCGTGCTCTTTGTTTCTCTCTAAGTTTCAACATGCATCAAGATCCACCATCTGTTTTACGAAGTCTTTTATTTTTGTACCGAAAGGCGGTGTGGTCGTAGACATACTGTATTGTTTTAGTAATTTTGAACCTGCGCGTCCAAATTACCAATAAAACTGTGTGATGGTCACTCACTGTTGACCAATTGACATTGTAAAGGGCTAAAAGTAAAGGTTGCGTTAATATCACACTGTCTACATATTAAAGAACGAATTACTCAGGCTCTGTGTGCTGCCTTATTGTTAACCTTTTTTATATTATATGATTTTGTCTCAATGCATATTTACCTATTTATTTCAGTGGAATTTGAAAACCTGCATACCAGAAACAAGTGAGTACCCCATATATATATATTTATATAAAAAAAAATAAATAATAAGATAAAATTTAAAAATTAAAAAAAAAAGATAAAATAACAGTTTCATTTTCCAACAGGGGACAACGGATGATGTTGGTAGCTTCGAGGGTCACAAACGGCTCTTACAACGTGTAAAAGGAGATAGCACTATACACAAAAGTCTATATTCGACACTAAAGCTTGATTTTCTTGTCCACTTACATAAAAAGGCACATATCGATGTTTCTGCCAAAGACAAAACAAATGCCGCCAGAATGTAACCCGAGCTCTCTGTTGTGGTAGCTTAATTACTGACACAGAAGGGTTATTTGTTTATCAATTAAGTCCATTTGTGGCAACAAAATTAATCGACTGGTCATTATTGTTGCAGGGATCGTTTTTAAGCGATTAGACTTCATACATGTAGTTATGTAAACCATATGCCATTAAGGCAATGTGTTCATCGTCTGTTTTTCATAACACCGTGATCGATATTTTTTTCTATTTTTAGTCAACGGCGAATGGACCGCCTGGAGCTCGTGGAGCACGTGCCCACAGTCGTGCATGGGCGGGAACAGAACGCGCACGAGAACATGCAGTAACCCAGAGCCACAACATGGAGGAACAGATTGTGTTGGCAATAACACAGAGACAGCCGAGTGTGCAGTGGTCGCCTGTGCGTGCAGTATATTAAAAAATAATTTTAAAGATATATGAATATAAACATGTAAAAATGCAATATATAATACAATTTAAAATCCTGTAAACAAAAGAGGAGCTGTTTCACACAAACACACACACATGCACTCGCGCGAGGATTCTGATCAATATAATTTGAATAATTACAAAAAAAAAATGAATAAATAAATAGATTTATAAATATATCTGTTTATTTATAAAATCAATTTTTCTTAAAATGCTACCAAAATAAGGATAATTTTTATCTCTATTTTTCTATCACTTTCAACAATTGGTATATATACAGGTGCAGCTCTCCTATTATACTGTAGTAGTAGACAGACCTGCACGTTATTGAGCTTTTGTTTTAATTTTTTCCTCATGTTTTACAGGTTGCTCCATGTCTCTTCACACCACAGGGAGACGGATCACATCCGGGACTCAATTATTGTACGCCATCACGTCCACCAAAGAAGAGTGCGTTAATTTATGCTGTGCAGACAACGACTGCAAATACGCTAACTGGAGGAATGACGGCGAGAACGCATGTAAAACTTTCTCTGATTGGTCAGGCTACACTCAAGGCCAATCTGTGCCTTTTGATTATTTTTATTAAGGCCGTCTGCCGTTGTGAAGATGCTTTGACTGTTTTTATTTGCAAGCTATGTTTCTTTTCTATTGGACTCCGTTACCTTTGGATAAAAGAGAGCCTAAACAGGAGTATTTAATGAAAATTATTAGCCATCGCTGGCCCGTAGCTCGGGGGCGGGAAAAGGTACACAATGGTTTCATGGTAAACGGTCCAATTTTTCGGAAAGACCCCGCCCCCCTCTCCCTCCCCCTCCCCCACTTTGGAATTGATGGCTACGGGCCTGCATCGAAAGTCGACGAAATGAACAAGGGACCTAACTTGCCACCGGAAGCTGGGCAAGTTTGTAGATTTTGCTGGAAAGTCGTGACCGCCAGTTTGTTGACAGAGGAGATCAATGGTCACTTACCATTCTCTACTGGTGAAAACGAAATCCCGTATTCACATTCAGATCTGTATGTCGAAAACAGCAAGAGCAAAACATTATTATCATTAAGAAACATTTGTTTCTTTTTCTTAGAAACTTAATTAAGAATTGTGAGCAAATGAAATATTACAATGTCCATTACTTCATCTTCGTTTTGCTTTCCATTTGTTAAACAAATAATGAAAGCCTCTGGGGCTACTTCGTAGACGTCAATATTTGTTATGCTATTGATATGGGCGTTTTTCCGGAGATTCCAATTAATAGCACCAAGAGGATCTACATATAGTACTTATCGACACATCAACACGGTCTTAAAAGAATATATGTGCATGTAGTCCTGAGGGTCAACGTTACATCTCGGAGGCACGCTCGTCGAAGAACCGCCAAGTGGCATAATGTCGCCACCAATTTTTTTCATCTTGATCGCGTTATTACTGCACACAAGAATAGCGAGAGGCAAGTGAATTGTTTTGTATTAACCCGATGTAATGTACATGTAAGAGCTGAAATATGTTTTGATTTAAAATATTTCTACTTTAGTCTCTATTTAATGCCATTGTGCAGGACAACGAGTCGGGAACTTTTCCTGTGACTGATTGCAACTTGACAAAAATTAACAGTTAATTGTGTTGACCTTTAGAAATAAGCACAGTGTCCATTTAATCAAATTTCTGTTAACATATTTCAGTTTTGCAAACTAAACGCTGCAAAATCGGTTCAAATTGTTTAATCAATGGGGAAATGGCATAGTTTTGACAAAAATCAAAATGCAGTAACTCTTAAACTCTCTATGGATTGAAAAATGCCAATGCATAGTTCTGAACTTTGATAGCGTAACATAAATGCAGGGCATATTTTTTCTGATCTATTTTTCTTTAACAACAAGTACATGTTTTTATTCTGATTTAAAAACAAATCGTTACAATATACACGTTAACGTTGTACTTTGTTAAGGAAGTACCTGCATTGTTGTAATCACCATGAGTAATTAAGGAACACAGCTGCCGTAGTTTGTTATTTATTTGCGAGTGCACTGTATACGATATAATTCCCTGGATAAAACAATCAAGGGAACGTCAATCTGATCTGATATGCTGTCATCTGGCGAAAGCGAAATGGCATACATGTATATTTACAAAAAGACTTATTGAAATAAAAAAGAAGTATGCTGCTACTCGATAACATATATTATTTTGTGAAATTTTTACAAAATTGACTTAAATTATGCACTTTATGATACATGTATGATGCTCAAATATGTTATTTGCCTTGGCTGTAGTGTCAATTACTGGTTTTCGTTGCAACAAATGTATATTATTTGGTTGCCAAGTCTGTGCAGTTTGAAACATCCAACAATTATGATCTTTTTTCTGACTAAGCACAACCCAGCAACCACATTACATTTTATGTTGTGTTCCATTGTCTAATAAATCACATCCACAGCAGCAGCATTCGTGAATCACAATTAAAATTGCTCATGTGACTACTTTACTTTATTTGCATTTATTTTGTACAAAAGATATTTCCATTATTTTCACTCCTTATATCGATGTCCAGTAGTGATTCAGCTGCTATTCTCCCCTTGCTGTTTCAAAGGAATCGAGATATACAGAAAAAGGGTAGAATTTCCCATCCGTATTTAGAATGCTTTAATTGCTCAGGCATTTTCACTTGAGACACATATATTATTTTCATGCCGGGGGCTGCAAAGTGACAAGAAATAAGGCTCGAGATAAATAAACCCGTTTGTAAAATAAATATGGGCAGATTCTAGAGGAAAGAAACGCCCCATCCGCCTCAGTGGTCTACAATACTGTAAAAACTCAATCTTTTCAATGGAGAAAAATATCAGCCTTCTGATGCTTTAATTGTATAGCATTAAAAAAGGTAGTCTTCTTTTCAATTGTAGTTGTTGTTGCCGATCGACAGGAATGTTTTAAGTATAAGAATCTATCACTTCAAAAATACAGTATCAGTACAGTTCACATTGCTCCCATTGGATAGATCTGACTCATTACCGGAATATCATTTCACAGAAATAAATTGTCCTTGGAAAGCACATTTACTTTCTGAAAATGGGGTGAAAATCAGTTTTGTTTGCATTGTTATAGTGCATGCAAATGTTAAGTGTTCAAAGTGGTTTTTCAGCGAGTTGTCAAAGTAAATTGTCAAGGTAAAAGGTCATGAAGTTGGCGTCTATATTATGAAAACTAATCGCAAACACAGATACATGTAAATCACTGGTGACCATGTCATGAAAACTGTGTAAACAAAAGTCCACAGCAAACTGCATTATTTAAAAAAAGATCAATATGCATTTTGCTCTTATTTTCACTCAATAGCTCGGCACATAAAGCCTAAAATAATACACATAATCGTATTTTGTGACCAGAATAGATTTTGCTTCCGTATCTAACAAAGTTTTGTTTGTCCGAAGTACTTATGCACACTTCATATCCAATTTTTATTCAGAAACTATAACCTGTCTTTTTAGTTGGTAATTTCGGGAAATTAATGAATGGCAAAATGTATGTTATTACGATATCTTTGATATTTTATTTATGTCGGTGGAAATAGTACGAGCGCATTTCATCAATAAAGTATGTTCCCAGAAGTCAAAATGCGTACATTTGCATCGTTTTAAAAAAGCAGTCAAATGTACTCAAGCGGGGAGAAGAACTTGGGTACTTACACTTCTAACCCCCCATCCGTCACAATCAGGCATATCAAAATCGTTATCATTCTAAAAATGCATGTATTTTATTCTATTTCACACCTTTGTAGATCACTTGCTGGCTTCAAGCAGAAACGATAACCAGAATGTGTTATACCATTTTTCAACCTTTTATACTGATATGAACATACTGAACCTTAAGTGCCAGAATATCATTAAGGTAGGTCAGTCAATACGGTACTTGACTGTTGGCGACTATGTCATTCTTCTTTCTTGCAGGCCATGAGTTCTCATTACATAGAAATGGTGATTGTTCCGAGGGCAAATTTTGCAAGACAACAGGGATGGTGCTACAGGAGACTCCTATAAAGAATGCAACCGCCGCCAGCGCCATCCACTGTGTCTCTATGTGTGTGAGACACCAAGACTGTCTTTCCGTCAACTACAACTCCACTGATAAAACATGTTCTCTGATTAACGTCCTGCACACAGCTTCTAGAAATCTAGCCCAGACTAATGTGACAACCGACCTTCATTTAAGCCCAGCCGTGTGCGGCGCTCAGGTAGAGATGAAATTGAATTTTCATAACTTTGATTAAAAAACTTACTTTGATAAGGACATTGTATTGAATGTGTTTTGCTTAGAGTAATTAATATGTTTTGTGGACAAATGCTTTTATGATTTCCCCGCGAAACCGTGTGTCGCATGTCACATGATACGACACGTGACCTTTGTGAAAGAGCTTGTCTCATGAGAAGATGGAATAATAAAGTACTCACAACAAAATACAAATATGGCTTCACCTTTGTTTCTCTTTTAATTTGCCGAAATTCGCGCTAGTTTCTGTATTTAATGTCAATAATTATATAAAATGTTAAGGTTTCCAGTATGCCGATAGTGACAGGAGTTTTGATGATGTTTATTGAATTTTTCAGTGGGACCTAAAGACCTGTGCACCAATACCTGGTAAGTAAAAGAGAAAGGACAAAATACCACCGACTGGGACATTACAGACTACATGTAATAAACTGCTACTTTGTTTACACGAACACGCGCTTACATGCACATTCTACGGTGACATTCTGCGGTTTGTGTATGTTTATGTTCCCTATTAAGGTGCAGTTGAATGGTCTCAAAAGTTTCCACTCGATAGACTATACATTCCATTTTGGACAATAACTCACAAAATATGAGAAACATACATACAGGGCTCAGAAAACACATGCTGTTGGTCATTGTAGTTGCCGGTAGCTGGACCTCCTGGAGCGCGTGGGACTCGTGCTCACACACGTGCGGCATCGGGACAAGAACGCGCAAGCGCACATGTACTGACCCAGAGCCTCAACATGGAGGCACGGACTGCGCTGGGCCTAGAACCGAGAGCGAGGAATGCACGGTAGTCGCTTGTACGTATATGTGTGTAACAATATCAATTGGGGCGGAGCGGCAGGGGGGTGGGATCGTAAGTTTAATGTTAAGAAAACGATTTGTCTGCTTAATATCGCATTTTGAATGGTGGAATTATAAAACATTTAATGAAGGTCACACGTACTAGCACACGTGTATGTTGTTGGTTTGTCGTGCATAGGACGCAAATCGTGAAGTCGATAGCTGAATCAATTGGAACCGAATTAATGACTTGGAATGTTCTGATTGTATAGATATCTACTCACCTGCCCGTAATTTTGCTTGGTTGCCGGCAGTCGGAACTACTGATGTTATTCTCAAAGGAACAAGCTAGAAAAAGGGACTTCGAAAGATGATTATAAATTTTAATTTAAAAAAAAGTACAAAGAAGGAATGTGTACTTTTTCAAAAACATCAAATTGAATGTGGTCTAAATTCCTTTTAATTTTTACCCTTAAAAAAACTGACAAATCTGTTTCGTCCATTCTAATCTTAAATAACACCTTTCATCGAATTTCGTTTTCAGGCTGTATGACACAAGGATCCAATCTGCGTGCCGGCGGCATTGAGCTGGCCGACACCACCACTGGCACAAGCCAGGACTGCATTCAACTATGCTGTCAAGACTCCAGTTGCACGGCCCTCAACTGGAACACTGTTAACAATGAATGCAAAACATTTGCCGACGTGAACTCAGCCACGCTGGGTAGCAGTTATGAATACTATTATAGATAAAGATTTTTATGGATAGATAAAGTATTGAAACCTCGAGGAGACAATTCTAACGTACGGAGGGAATTGTTTGTACAAGGCCCCATTCAGAATAGGGGACTAACTAGTCCGAGGGTCAAATATGGCGACTTACTTTAAAGCTTGTCGTCTTTTCCGCTAATAGACACTGAAAAGGTATCCATATTTGACCCTCGGACTAGTTAGTTCCCTATTCTAAATGAGGCCTAATTCAGCCGAATATTATAATTATCCTTTATTGTATGATTGTACGCTTCGTGTGTAGTGTGTGGCAATGGTCTCTAAAGTGGTACGGTGCGCACTGCACAGCATTTCGGGTCGATGCACATGGCGAGATGTCAACATAATAATATCTGGATATTCAACAAGGCTTAGAGCGTCTACTTTTGTCAGTGATATTGTTCAGAATTTTTAATATAAAAGTACGAAGTAGTAATTTTTTTCTTGAATCGTCGGCTGGTATTGAGATTGTTGTTTACCTTCAATATTGCGTTGACTCTCTGCAATCTGCTGGCGATTTTTTTTTACTTATCAACATATATTGGAATATGTTCAATTTACATCTTGTCGAGTATTCGTGATATCAAAAGAATACTTTGTATCTCAAACGCACAACAAGAATAAGCGAACAGATAAATAATTGAGCGGGATGACTCACTTAGAGGAGCGATCAGAATCTGTTGGCCTCGGATTAACATTCCATTTTATGATCCATCATTTTGATAGAAGCTCCACCCTCTTTGAAATTCATTTTAAAAGGCAGCTACCGTTAAATATTTTGGAATGAGTTTATTTCAAGAGAATGTAAGCATTGCATGTATGTGGCCAATATAAGTCAGAAATTGAGGTCTTTTCGCTACGTAATCGCCCAATTAAACGCAACAATAACGGGTGGCAATCTATTTCGTATATAATCAAAAACACATTAAATAATAATCTATTCATCGCAAGATCTCCACGCATTAATACTCTTGATTCTCGTAACTTTCATTCATATGTGCATCCCAACGAAGTTGTTTAGAAAATTGGAAAACGGAATGTGGACCAAACTCATTCCTGGCTAAAATCGTCTTGCTAGTATATAGTATAAAGTATTAATCATAGTTCCATGTTTCTTAACACGCCCAATACAAACTAACCAAGGGCTCGTTCCCAATGAAACTATCGGTCTTCGTAGATAGGTCCAACTCCGAGGGGAATCTCGCTGAATGCAGCCAGATTAACAGATTAAGGGACCATTCCCACATATATTTGGATCGATCTATCACCCTGGTCTGTCAAGCCTAGTAAAACTGTTAGGGGGTAATTATCCTTACTTTAGCTGATTCGGTAGGCGTGACAGACATCTTGGGCTGAAAGCAATTTAGTGTGAACCGACAGGGAGTTAGGTCGATCCACATGGATCGATATAAGTATGGGAACCCAGTCTAATACTCCTCTTGGCGTTGATCATGAGTACAATACAGAAGAGATGGTAATTATACGAGTACGTTGGAAACAAGAGTAGGCGTGTTAATCTGTTAAACTGATTGCATTCAGCAAGAGTCCCCGCAGATCGATCTACGTAGACCGATAGTTTCATTAAGAATAAGCCCTAAGAGTTATTATGGTCCCAAGAAATTTGCATAGGAAGGGAAGCAAGAACTATCCACAATTGTTCACAACAGAAAGCATATGATGAAGGTCATAATTAAGGTATGATGAAGGGCAGGAGGAAGTCAGAAAGCTTTTTGTGTGACCAGGGTATATATTTTCGATGCAACAAATTCTCAACTATGTCTACGTTTATAATATTGTGGAAATAGAACAATACTCCAAAGCAGATGAAAAAAAAATGTAAAAAACTCCAAGAGTAGCAAAGTTGCAACCCTATGTGAGATAAAGCACCGTCGACAGATATAAAGCAATTTTTTAATATGTGAGCTTATGATGATGATGATGATTGCAATATGGCGGTCAAGCCGGACAGGGGATTAATGAAATCTAGATAATACGCCATAATGGTCCCAGTACAACACACGTACCTTGTGTCGAAGTGATGTCAAGATTATCTAAATTGCTTTGCGACTTTGCTCTTTTTCGCTACGTGAACGCAACGCCCCCAACGTTAATTACCGTTCTTCGCGGTAAATTACATGTCTCGAACCTCTCGCGAGATTTTATGATAGCGTGTTTAACTTCACAGACGCGGAAATGTAGCGTAGTTAGCCTATTGTGTCTTTTAGAAGAGTTTTGCATTGACTGAATCGATGCCACTTCAGTTGAGACATTAAGTGCTTAAGTTGTTTAATATGAACAAAACTGAAAAAAAAAAGAGAGTTGTCTAGTTTTTTGTAAGTCTTATTCTAGATGATTTAGATTCGGGTTCAGAATCTGCACGTTAGAACTGACTGAAAAAATAATTTCATCCAATTTTATTTTTATTCTATTGCCATTTAGTTTTATTGGTTAAATCAAATTAAAGTCTATATTATTCTATTCTTATTCATTGTTTCGTGTATCTAAAGACCCTACTTTATTTTATATTCATATATATATATACGTTTTATTTCAATTCATATACAAGACGTATGTACACATGTTCATATATAGATATTCATTAATTCATTCATTAAAAATAAAAACTTTAAAATTAACCCCTTCAGCTATACCACAAAATAATGCCAAATAAACTTTGTATTAATTTAACGAAGACAATTAAGAGTTACGTAAACAAAATTTGAAGAAAAGCAGCACGGCTGTTATGTAACGGCTCTTGTCAATTTATATATACTTATATGTAAGTAACTCCGTTTAAATTGTCATGTATTACCTGTAATAACATACTATATTTCTATGCAAAATATTAAGGAAATCAGTAACACAAGGCATGGTTGTTCATACGCAATGAATACATTAGGAGTGATGATGATAAACGGTAAAAATTAGTGGTCTTTAATCCTTGAAATCAGACGTTAAATCAGACTGGTAATTATGCTGAACGGGGGCTATCACTGCGGCTCTTGTCTCCGCGACGAGGCGCATATTTTCGCGTGCCAGCGTAACCGCCCCGATAAGCTTTGGATCACGTTTCACTGCACTGCTACCACGGCTCCATTTAGTCTCGTCGACCTCGGAGAGAGAGGCAGGGGTCGGGTGCTGCAGTGGCTGGCCTGGGAAGGAAGGAAGGAAGGACAGAAGGAGAAGTACGAGGACCTGACTGTTGCGCCGTGGGGAAACACGCTACATTCCGCCGTTAAACCGTGTTTCTTCCACACACGGTGACCAGTGGGTGGTAGGTGGCCATAGTGTCCTTTTCTTTGACCAGCTTGACCAACAGGACTTGGGGCCAGAGACGGCGCTGTTTTATCTATTTTTTGTACCGGCCTGCAGCTGAAAGAACTTGAAATCGAAACCGATTTTTCTCTGTAGAAAATTATTAAATCATAAAAAATCGGCTGTGTTTCAAAATAATATTCCACGACAGACAACATTTGGACATTGAAATTCAGCGGTCATTTTAAAACACACAAGCTGAAAACTCGAATCAAAATGTCGCAAGCAGGTGGGACGATGGTCATTCTGATTCTGTGCCTTCTGACGGCTGAGAATCACGCTCAATCAGCAACCAAGAGAGATCTGTGTCCTTTCCAGTTTCTTTGCGATACTTCCAACCGCGGAGCTTACCTGTACTGTAAGGACGGGCAGACGACCAGGAGGCTGTTACCGGAAGGGACCACATGTGTTCAGCAAGGGCAAGCCGTTAAGTTTGAGTTCGTCATAGGTAAGCTTTCGTTTTGATATTGGAAATATGGAACCAATTAGGAAGGATTAGAAAAAGAAACCTTTTTTGAAAGAGGTGGGGGGCGGAGGGGTGGGGGACTAAAAG